TTTTTTTTTTGCAGCTGTAACCGTAAAAGTTATTTTCTGCAATACTTATCAAAATTTCATTAATTGTCGAAACAAGGAGAAAAAGTGAATTAAGCAGACCAGTTTGTAGAGTTACAGCTTGAAAAGGAAAACGATTTGAAAGCTGAAAACTAAGAATAAGATTAAAAGAAAATAAAACTATAGTTTGTCGTTGTTTCAGAAGCGGTTTATCCAGTGTCTTTCATTATGTATTACTGTGTGAATTTAGCAGCATATTTCACCCATCAAATCGGTTACAAGCTTTAGATATGTGTGAACGATTAAAGGTTCGCAACTGTGGATACATATCGCTATATCGGGTAAATGCTGTTGTCGTTATCATTTCTTAAATTTTACTGATAAACCGAATACAATAGTAGCGCACAAGGACCACACTTATGTTTTTCAAAAGTTGTAATTTTAGAAGTCAAAAAAATTGCCACGTTTGTGCGGTGCTTTATAAGACAGGATTTGTTCTATTTTCTTATTATTCTTCAATTTTGTACAACATTACTCTTCGCTGATGCTATTTTGTAGGTTAAACATTCATATTCGTCAACCAGAACGACTGAAGAAACTATGGTACCAAAAACAACGTCAAGACGTGAAAGAAATCCCATGATAAGAGGTTTTTCACAAGAGGTAATCTGTGCATACCAGTTAACTGTAAAAATTTTGACCATCTAAAGCTAATGGATTCAGAACTGCAGCTGTTTATAACATCTTTCACTGACCATCTCTTTCAATTTCTGGGTTACCTATACAGAGGAAAAAAATTGTCATTGTCAGTATCATAGCAGTAATTAATGTGAAGAAAAAAAAAACCAGTTTTAAAAGTTCAACAGACCACCTTAATTGATAGCGTAGAATCATGTAATTGAACAAGGGAAAAATTTGTAATTTGCACTTATCAGGTGTCATGATATCAATTAAAGTTTTACATCTTTTTTGTTATGTGAAATGCTAAAGACGATAATGATTTTGATGTTTATATTGATATTGACAATGATAATGATAATGATTCTGGAAATAACGGCACTAATACTGATGGTAACGACATTTAGGTAGCAATGCCAGAAGGTGGTACAAGTCCACGTATACCAAAGTTACGTTTACGAGACCATTCACTCGGCTATGACATTGATGAAACATTAGAAAATGATCGTAATTTAATCTTTGAAGAATTTGAATAGTCTATGTGCAATAATAGTTTGGCGTAATATTGGTTGAATCCATGACCATGGGAAGAATATGTCTGAGCACTGATAGATTGTGCTCAAATAAAAAAACGTATGGTTTAGAAGAACTCAACTGCCATAAAAAAATTGAAATTTAAATTTTTTTACGTATAGTAAATTTGTTAAACGCAAGAAAAAAGTGCAGGAAAAATTTGTTTCCCAATGTGCCAAATGTATATTTTTTTCTTTGCTGTCAATTTCCCTATATTTTTTTTTGTTTATTTTGTGACAGAAACAAAATGTCATTCATTCTTTCTGAAGCCTTCTGTTGCCTTCATTAAATTATTTATTTGTTGTTCTCGTTTTGTTACTGCTGAACAAATAACCTTAACGATATTCTCAGCATCAGTTATATGCCCAAAAATAAAATAAGAATAAAATTTACGAGGTAATTTTTTTTTTCTTTTTTTGATGAAAACCGATGTTGCTTTTTTTCGTCCCAGTTTTTTCTTTTTGTTTGTTACTCATTTTTTTTCGCAATTTCTTTGTTGATTTGTTTCAGTCTCTAACAATGGCTTTTGTTGTTAGCCGATAAAAATATGAAAGAAAAGGGAAAAAAAGAGTGCCAAAAAAAGTAATATTTTAAACCATTTTTCTTCTTTAGTAATATATTTTGTCCATAATTTTTGTTTTGTTTTCTTTTGAAACAAATGTTGTAATGTCAAATAAATATTTTTTCATGAGACAGATTAGCCGATTTTATTGAAAGACATTTACAAGGTACCGCTTTCGTATCAGATTTTTTCTGCACTGGAAGAGTACCGATAAGAACAGGATACACTCGACAATCCTAAGGGAAATACTAAACTGCCTGTCCGGAATACCAGCTTTAATTTTGCAACAAAATCGTAAAGGATGGATGGGATGGCAGAGATGGGACAGAAAATACAGTTTTCCAATTCTGAACTTCACTACTGTTCCAAAAGTTTATGAGATTTCAATGAGTAGTTGACAAAACGGATGAAAGGAAACAAGTAGAAAGATGGAGGGTGAGTGAAAAGAGAGAACCAATTATAAGTTTTTATGTAAGCACTGTTGGTAAACTTAGCGTTATGCTTTTCGAAATCGCACTAAAACTTAGTCTGTGCAGTAGTTGTTGCTTAATCCTTCATTCTTTTTACTTTCTTTTTTTCCGCTTCTTTTTCTTTCTTTTCCTCTTTTTGCAATTTAATTTATCGACAACACTCAAATGCCAACAATAAAGGCTTTTGTAAACATCCTATGAGTTCCAATTATGGTGCACTTCGATTCATTTTCTTCACTTTCTGTTACTTCAATTATCCTTCTTGGTTGCTTGACAAATTTTTTTCCTATTTTTGCTTTTTGTCATCTGTGTCTCATCAATTTTTTGAATTTTAAACCACAAATATCAGTCCACCTCAACATCGATTTCCAATAACCAATTTGGCTGTCACAAAAAAAAAACCCCGGCTTATAATACACAAAAATACAATTCTTACAGACAGTTTACCTGTTGTATTTGTCCAGTGTACATTGAAAATACATTGGTGGAACGTTAAGTCGGTTTTTAGGACATTGATATCTGTACAATTGGAAACAAGAATAATCACATGTAGAATGATGAAAAAAAAAAAGAATAGAAAACATATGAAGGTTGAAACGTTCACCGCCCTTTTCGCTCTTTTCGCTCTGCCTCCACCCTGGTATTTGAAAAGCTATAAAACAGTTGATCTTTAAAGATAACCTGTCATTGTTCTTACGGTGTATACGCTTTTGGATGAATCAGTTATGAGGTTTTTTTTTTCCCAACCAACAAGAATAAATTTTCAGACTATAATAACCAATAAGCAGACACAGAAACACAG